TTGGGAGAAAAAAAAAGAACTATAGGCCAATATCCAAGAGACAAACAAATTCTAATGAAACATAAAAACCTCTATAGTATAGAAGAAGGCCTTTGCATCTTAGGTTAAATTTAAAATATTATTGTACTAGTACTAATTCTGAATGCTTTGTTATAGTCTTAAGGAAGAATCAGATTACAATTAATAGAGGTGCAGTTATACCAAGAAGCATCTATATTGATACTCATGTTAATTTTTTCTTCATTAACAAGGATTGTTTATTTGACTATTGTTTCTTATTTCTTGTTTTTTGTTTTTCTATTAGAATTAAATAATCTAACTATTGAAGAAAATAAAAATAAAAATAGTTGTAATACCAGCTTTAACTCTCAAAACTAATATTGCTACACTAGTGGAGGAAAAAAAAAGTATTAAAAAAAAAATATATATATATATATATAATGCAAATACAAAAAAAGACGAAATTGTACAATGCCTCATGACCAACATGAATAACTGGCTTTACTAGACAAAGGACAATTGACATTTTATTTGCAACAATGACATAAAGAAACCATTTCTATTTTTATTTTTATTTTCTAATTCTAAGGTTGCAAAAATTTCTTTAGAATTTTTTTTAAATTCTTTAGTGTCCATAAAGAAATAGAATCTTAAACTAATACACTTAGACAAAATGGATCTAAAGAAATACTACAATAATGGAAGAAAAACCTAGGAGTATCAAATCTACCAAACAACTCATTTGGGCAAGTCTTGATGAGTATAAACAACTACTGTGAATATTTATTAAAAAAATAAAAAAACTCAAAAATCCAAGAGAAAACCAAAACATGAAAATATATTTCTCTGTTGGTAGGACTATTGATGTGGACTAATCAACAGATGAAATTCGAAATAATTGTAATTGCTTGGTTGTCCAATGCATGCTCTGAAACAAGAGTATGAAGGCTGTAACTTACAAACTTCAACCATTGCAAGAGTACAAAGCAGAGTCCACCACCCTAAAGTGGTTTACTTCCGAACAGAAAGGGGCAGTAATGAAATATCTGGAGAGCAACAAACAATCCCTGCAACGCTGACACAAAAAACCAAAACTTGCAGCGACGCTGCAAACTATATTTCTTCCCAGCGTGGCAACATCTGGTCACGCCTCCACGTCTTGACAAATCAGCAGCGCGGGCGTGGCGACACGCGTGGTTGCGGAGAGAGCATGAAACGAAGACACCGCACACTCCCGCATGTGGCATCGCCCTTGACAAGTCAGCTGCCAAAAGGGCATGCGGTGAATGTTGGCCGACGAGTCCTTTGCCCAATTGCGTCGCACCTTATCACTGCTCCGCCATTCAGCTTCTCCCCTTTCGTGCCTCTGCTTTTCCCCAATTCGTTTTCACTCGTCCAAGTGTCCAGAATCCGGCCGAAATCTTCCTCAACTCCTGAATGCCAGCATCAGCTCCGCTCTCACTCGACGCCCACTTGTCTTTACCCCTTCGCTTGGGTCAATAAGTTCCTCACTAGTATCACCAGTTTTCAGCGTTACTCGATCGTGTACTCTTTCCACTGAGTCTTCCGTCTTCAGCTTCGCGCTTCTTCCCGTGCCTTGTGATCTCTCCATTGCTTCGATCCGTCCCTGTTTAGTCCTCTGTTTTTGATTGTAGTAATGGCAGGCAGAGCTAATGGCCAGGTTAGTCGGGATGACTTGAATCGCTATAACTTGGAACCCGGTGTTGCAGAAGAAACCTACAACAAGGTGCACCATGATCTTGATGTGGCCGCCGCGAAGCGCAAGCCCATTGTTACAGAATCCAAGTACAAGGTGAAGGTCGCGGAGCCTGGGGTGGATTCCTTGCACTTAGAGGATCACGAGCACATTGGGAGTCATGTAGATCAGAAAAAGAATGAGACGAAGTCTGTTTCCAAGAGCTCGTACGAGATGCACTCATCGAAGTCCCAAACGCAAGAAAAGCCCAAGTCGAAACCTAGTACTGCGGAGACCCAGAAGGGCCAGTTCATCGCTAAGCCCGACGTGTACAATGACAAGAGCCGGGGTGAGCCGGACGACGACAACAAGGGAGGTTTCTCCTGGTTCCCATGGTTGGCGGGAGCTGCAACCATAGCTGGGATTGTGGCAGGTGCCATGTATGTGAAGAAAAAGAACCCTGATGCCGATCAGCGAGTAAGGAGGGTAATTGAAGATGGTGATCACCGTGTAAAGGAATTCATCGGCAGTGGCGAGCAGCGCGTGAAAGATCTCATCGGTGGTGGTAAACAGAAGATTAACGACCTTGTTCACCGCGGTGATCACGGTGACGATGGTAGCGATCGCCACAGCGGCAGCGGCATGACTTTGTTGGATGGCGGGTCGTACCATGTGAAGCAGGGGGATAACTTGACGAAGATCGCGAGGAAGACTGGCAAGAATAGCTGGCACGACATTGCAGACAGGAACCCTAATCTCCGCAACCCCGACCTCATCTACCCCGGTGACAAACTGAAGCTGTAGACAGTAGTTTGTGCAGGTTGAGCTGGTTTGTATTGTATCAAATGAAGAGTGTAAATTCGCTGCATTCATGCTTTGCGTAAGCATCTACATGTTTTGTATTATTCTCTGTTATTCAATGAAGCACATGTAATATTCTGTCCTCCACCAGCTTGAGAGCACATCCCAAGAAGATTGATTCGTTTTACTGGAAGCATGCAGTTCCTGATGAGATGCATTGCGGTGGCCATTGACTCGCGTTTATTTTTAACCAAGGTATCAAATATCAGTCTGACCGAATTTGGTCTCCGATTTTTGGCTGTTTTTGTTGACTGTCTTCAACGTGGAGCCTCTTTTCCAATTTCGGCCCTCGGTCACACTGTAGGCACGCACCTAAAGTACACTCTGGCGTAATTTTGTCGTCTTGTTTGATCGGTCTCCAGGTATATCGTAGCTTTTGTTTACTTTTGTTCAAATCAGCAACATAAGACGTTACAGCTAATATGTCTACCTGAAGATGTAACTGCTTTTCTAATTATGAAGATGTTTTAAAACTAACTATGTTTTGTTATATATATATATATATATATTTATTTATTTATTTAATTTGAACTAAAAAAATTTGGTCATCAGAAATCAAATTATAAATTAAAGACCAGAGAAGATGGAGATGGATATTTGTAATATGGATTTATTCAATCGAATAGTTTTTGGATGTCTAATGTTTTTTAGCATGCTTATTAAAGATTGGGAAAATTTCAAATATATCCCTCAAGTACCCTGAAATATCAAGAATATCTCTGCATTCTTAATAATAGAAACTGTACCCCCTTGTTAGTAGGGCATTGCCTGCATTGCTGCCCCAATGGAGGCTCTCCAACAGCTCGCCTCCATGATATATGAGGAAACATTTAATGAGGTTCTAAGTCAAGTGGTTGGTAGAACTGCCGAACAAGAAATTCTGCTTATGTTATTGAGCAGAGGCATATCGCACCAAACCCATAAAAGTTGGCTGCTTGGAGCAATCTACAATTCAATAAATTGCTTGTTAATTCTCTTTACGACAGAAATTTGATTTTGATTAAGTCAATGTTGTTAATGCAGATTCGAGGTGCTCAAAGTGCACCTCCGTTCAATACAAACCTCCAGTGCTGAAGCAGTCTGTAATATGAGCTAAGTCCAAAAAAAAAATAGATTCAGCTCTGTTTACATTAGTGTATGCTCATCCGTTATCCCTTTTGGACTTGTTTGATGTCCGATCATTCAGAATGTAGGAGAAGACAACATGAGAAAGCATCGAATTTGCCGCACTTGGTGGACACAAAGCCGACGGCACAATGCAAACCTCGAACAAAAGCATCTTGTGGTGCATTCGTAAGCGTGAACGCCGCAAAGCTTGGAGGAAAAAAAAAAAAGAAATTGTGGGTCCACGTCGTAGACATGATGGATCTGGAAATTCGATGTGGGAATAGAATTCAATGCAACGGCCACATTTGAGCGAGGCAGTGGACGAGAATGCGAGCGGTGATATGACCGAGGACGATCGGGGGGCTTTCTGATACCCAAAAGGGAGACGGAGTTGCCTCATAAGCCCCACCGTTTATGATTTTTGTTGTGTATCTGTTTGTTTCTTTGCTGGATTTTATTTGCATACAGGTTTGTGGATTGCTTTGCTTTGCAACGGTTGTTTCCGTTGCACATGCAGTTCCTTGCTTCCATCCTTCATCCCCGAATTCCTCTTTTTTGTCCATTGCATTCTGAATCTAGGATCCTACAGTTTTAAGTTTTGAAATTCCAAATTCTTTTTTGTATGGAGGGGGGCTGGTAGAGGAGCTTGTCCTGCAATACTATGGCCTATGTGGCAACTGGGTCTTGGTACCCTATTATATACAATGGATGAGGGGTACATTTGCTATTATGAAAAATGCGGGGATATTTTACATATTTCACGGTACTTGAGAGACATGTTTGAAATTCTTAAAGATTAGAAGCCAATATGTAATAAGAGTAGCATTTGGAAAAATTAAAACATCTTGAAACAACGTAATATTACGTTGTTTATTACTTGACCCAAAACCTCCTATAGATTAATTAATTTAAATATAAAGACCTTTAGAAATTTTAAATCATCTTTAGTATTATAAAGTCTCTTTATTGCATACCCACTCTAAAAAATTAAAATATTTATTTAAAAAAAATTATGTCTTCCATTTATTACACATCTTTCATCTATGAATTCAAGGGCAATGGATGCATAGTAGGCCAAGGACATAATCTTCTTCCTAGACTTCATTCAATAAATAACATTCATCTATGAAGTCAATTTTGGAGGTAATTTTGTAGATTCTGAGAATTTCTAAAGTAATTTTTCATACATTAATTTCTATAACTTATGAATGTGAAACATTAATGATATTAATAATTAATATCATCTAGTTGGATATTATAGATTTTTTCTAAATTTATTTTCTTTTTGGATTATAGTAATTAAACACTTTATTTTTATTAAATTATTAACATCTCATTGAGAATCATGAAATATATATATATATATATATATCATAGTGTTTTTATACATGAATTTTGTAAATGAGAACCAAATCGTATGAACTTTGATTCAGTAGATAGATGTCATGTTATCTATCAACTGAATCCCACATCTTGAAATCTTGAATCCTAAACAGCATAACAAGAAAAATCCAATTATGTTATAATAAGTTTATAAGCAGACCACCGAAACTCGGCATCACTAACACTCTGCTGAGCAGATTGGTGAACTCACGTTCTGGTTGACGATCCAACATTTCGGTCTTCTTCAAAATTTAACTAGCAGAGAGTAATGAACTTAAGAAGAATATGTCTTCGCACCAACACTTGTCCACGTGATCGCTCACTCTTTCCATGTCCCTCTTTTGTATGGAGTCTTGAGTTTAATGGAAATCCATCTGAAGTGTTCTAAATTAAGTTTACATGATGTTGCAGGTTCTTCATGTGCTCAAAGACGCCATTGCTCCCCATGGATGAGTGATGCAGCCCTTCAGTCTGAAAGTGCATACCGGGCACTAGGTGCTGCTATGGTTTTAAGCCATGACTGCTGGGAGTTTCTTATGCATTGATTGAAAAGCAGCGTTGGTGCTGACCCCTGCAGATCAGTGACGGTGTCTTTCGCAGCAGGAGTTGGGAGTTGTGATGGCCTCGAGGATTTCTTCGGCGGCCAGTTGATGTTAGTCAAAGTTGAGTCGTTGCCACAGGGTTGGAAACCAGCATCTGGACGCACTGCAGGAGTGAGGTCTAGACCCTGCTCTCCTAACCATGACAATCGATCCACCACCTGTTCAACTGGTAGAATTCCCCCTCTATTGCTCACGATATCACGTAGCCCATTCGACTTAGGTATACTGTCCGTAAAATTCTCAGTTGCTGCCTTGTTTGTTGAAGCATCGAGGAAGACAGACTCATCATGGTATTGAGTTTCTAGGTTCGTCCGTTTGATGTCAAATACAGACTGAATGAAATGGGCGTTTTCAGAGCTTGGAATTGGACACAGCAGGGATGAGTGAAGACTCTGAGAAGTGTTCTCTGGCTTGACTCCTCTGCCACCAAATGAAGATTGGCATTCCTGAGGAACCTCGTATTGACTGGTTGGCCACAAAGTCTGCATAGGGTTCTGTCCTCTAAAACGTGGAGAGGCGGTATCGCACAAGTTGTCCATCTCATTCGTAAATGACCATCGGCTAGGACCGTAGCACACAGGATTGTAAGACACCGGTGATGTCGGAGATGAACTCCATTCAGAGCTTGGAGTGGGCTGGGATAGCACGGCATCACAGGAGCTTTGGTGAAGAATACTATTGTTTTGACAAAGAGCTGCAGGTCCGGTAACTTCACCTTCAGAGGATTTGAATTGACACGATGAATCATCACCATGATCCATGGTTGTAAACTCGGAAAACAGGTTTGGGTAGCTAAGGTTAATCTGCATTGGCTTCTTATAAATTCGGCATAGCGCAATTTCTCTCTGCAACACCAAAAAACCGTGAATCTTTTATTATGACTACCATCTATCGCTGAAGCGCAACTAGGCACGAGGTCAAGTTCTTCTCTAAGACTTTGTTGAAAGTGCTTCTATGTTTAAAACCTAGAATATAGTATTGAGGGCACACAAGACAAACATAGAGCTTACCCCATCCATGAGCGGCGCGGATGAATTGTACGGGAGGTCCAGAGTTCGACAAAAATATTCAATATTCACAGGCAACCGGTACTCATTCATGATCCATTCTGTTTTAAGGCCTTTCGGAGCTTTTCCTGTGTAGAAAACCAGGGTTTTCTTGAGGCCAATGCATCTGGAGTCGTGGGCACGCCGCACGGGCCTATCAGTGCCGGTGGCCTTCCAGTAGCCGGAGGTGGTGACACGGTTAGGTCTAGCTCCATTGGGATATTTCTTATCCCTGGGGCAGAAGAATAGCCACTCCCTCTCTCCTTGCATTGCGGCCATAGCTGCCACATTTTCCAGAAGAAAGAATTCCCAATTTGACCATCAGTACCCAGTTTACCAATTGATTTCAGAATACCAGCAGTGAGACCTTGACGACTTCGATCACGCATGCAGATGAAACAGGAGGGAACAATGAAATGAGTGGCATTCGCGCACTACCGAATCGACTACCTGGCAGTTCCCACGGGTCGTAGCGATACAGGTCTAAAACATTGATGAGCTCGACTTCCGTGCGATTTCCAGTGACCATGTTTTTCAGGTAGAACCCGACTAACTCCTCATCTGTAGGTTGAAAACGAAACCCTGGCAAGCTTGCCATACCATGCAAGGCGAGATCAGGTGATGAACTTTGCGTCAGGACCTTACTGTCCCATGCCTGGCGCTGATTCCACATGCCCTCCACCTCTTTTAAACCTTGCAGGAAGGTCTCCAGGGTACAGTCTTAAAACTCAGCATGCTTGTGAGTTCTAGTGTCTTGTCTGTACCTACAAATTTGACCTAGCGTGACAAATAGTGACGAACAGCTAAAAAGTATAAATTCGTCTAGTAGTAGCCTAATACAATAAACTAGGACAAGCCGGAGCTGATAAGGATGCAAGAAGCGATCTGAAGTGTCCAACTCAATCGTCTAGCAAAAATAGAAACGCCAGTGACCAGCCCGATCACTCACCCAGCAATCTCTCCAGCCGCATGCTCGACGACCCTCTCAAACTTGACATCTACCACGTTCTCAGTACTAAGGTCCTCATATCCAGTATTACCATGATCTGAAATGGAGGAAGACGAAAACAACAACTAACGTCCCAGGAAACAGGAGATATATTGAAGTCAAGCGAGGCTGCTGTCGGGTCGGTTTTTCTTCTTCGGGTTGTGCAGATTTGCCAGTTCACCAAAAAAAAAGTATTCATAAGTTTCGAGACGACGGGCGGTGGCGCTCATGACGCCTGTCGGTGCAAATACTGACAACTAATGTAATGTTGTCCGTGCTGTACATTCCCGAATGTTGAGTGCAGAACTTGAGTGTGAGGCAACCATTGCATACACGAGCGCAAAGGCTTCACTGCGGCAGAAGTTCTATAGATCTCTGTCAGACAAATACGGTGTACTGATCCTGGTCAATTAAAGTGGGTTCAGGAGGCAGTAGTCGATCGATCGATTGTCCTGTGCAATCTGGCATAAAAGGGAACTTCTGTGATGCGAGATGATAGCTCGACACTTTCCAGTGTTGATTGTCGGTTGAGATCCATCACTACTAGCGATTCCAAAACATCTGGAACATGAACAGTGTTACAACATGTATCTTCCTCAGTTTGAACCTGAAGCATTCTTCGGAACAATAACAACACTAATTAAGATAGAATAATTAATGTTATTTATTTCTGCTTATTTTTGCTTGCTGAAGCTTTGGTCTCCGACTTTACTTCATCCTTACCACCGAATTACCCACCCGAAACGCGTCTCATGCAACAAATCGTCATCCCTGCAGTAACAGCGCCACCAGTACACCATCCGACATTGCTCTGACTCCCTTCTCCTGACCTCTTTTGTCCTGGAAAAGCTTCGACCATTTCAAAAGCTGTGACCAGTTCAAGAGTGGAGAATATTGGGTAGTCATAGTTTGCATACATACCTCAATCACTAGCCCTTTACAAACTTCATGTTCACGTTTACTAAGTTCAATCATGAAACATCGTAGAACTGGAACTTAATTGTAGAACTCCAGTCAGGCTTCTGACACTTTTGAGTTTAAACTGTCTTTGGGGCAGAGTTTTGAAGATTGAGAACCCAATGTTGCCATCTCTGAGTGGCTCAGTTACAGTGAGCGAGTGATCTTCAACCCTGAGGACTTTCTGGCTACTGTACTTTGGGGCCCCAGAATGCATTATTCTACACTTTTTAATGACCTTCAAAATCCTCCGGAGGATTCTTCATGAGCATTGTTTTGTGAAGAGTAGAAGCCAAGATACCACCAGAGGGATCAGCGCCCACCTGTCTTTGGAACTGATGGAACATCATTTTATTTTACAAACTATATTTCGATTTGTTACTGTGCAAGGACAAGTCAACATTTATGCTTGTTGACACTATCATAGAGTCCACCAAACTTGCTGTTCTTTTTTATTTCATGTCCTGATTGTTGGATCATAATTTTTGGCTCAAATTTATAGTTAAATTAAATACAGTTTTTGGCTCAAAGACAATAAATTACACATTATTGTATTTTGCATGTAATTTCACAAGGGCATCAGTATGGGGTCTTATAAGCAGTGATTCTTTTTGGCCTTAAAGAAACACTTTTCTTTTTAAAGGAATCTCTCTCTCTCTCTCTCTCTCTCTCGCTCTCTCTCTATATATATATATATTAAAAGAATTTGTTGGGATCATAGTTATTTTCTGTTACATGCATGAAGTGATATATATATATATATATATATATATTTTCATGTTTCATGTTTACGCACAGTGACAGGTCTTTTGGTAATTGTTTTTAGTTAAAAGAATAGTTTTTAACCACAAATATTTTTACAGATATTTTTATCTTACATTTAATTTTTTATTGAATTGATTTGATTTTTGGCACTGTGGCAGAGTACACATACTTAAGGGCTATTTGGAATCAGTCTTCAATAACTATGCTAATTTAAATCATGCATGAGGTTCAAATCCCCACTATAGGCTGGAAAGAGTTCTGGATTCGCCAAGACAGGTGGAATATTTTTTACTTTAACCCCCTTATTTATTAATTAATTTATTTATTTTACTCATTCATTTATTCGTACATTCATGTTTGAGAAAAGTCAGAAGTGACACATTAAGTGCCATTGAATTGCAAGAAGTAATGATCCTTCAATTTCCCAGCATGCAAATTTGTCTCACTAGCTGGTGCACAACTGCTAACAAAAATGATTGAATAGTTAATGTGTTCTTCTTAAATATTTTGTTTTTCCTCTCAAATAATGTAATTATTTAATATGTTAGGTATGGTTGTAGGATGTATTGGATAAGATTCATTTAACCATGTCATAAAAGAATCATTTCATTTGCACAATCTTTTATGGTAAGTACTTATGTGTTGAAAAATCTCAATGCTGCAAAGCCAAATAACCTTTAAATTTATAACGTTTTTCTTTCTTTCTTTTTCTTTTTTTTGATCTAAATTTTTATGACGCTGCATTTTGTGGAGTTTTAATTCTACAAATCTATAGTGATCTTTGTAAAAATATTTCATCCACAAAACTTGTCTAAAAATACTAATTAAATTTTTTTACTTGTAGATTTTTTATTATTATAAAATAAAAATAAAATCCTCATTTTTTACAATAATTTTGGATTGTATATTTAAATTCTATTCTCTTAGACTTTGTCTTTTTGGATCACTAATTCAGTTTCTACAACAAAAAAATAATTGTTTAATTACTGCAAGAGAAACTTGTGATAAAAAAAATATTTGTATGTTTTATTTTTTTTATTTTTTTTGTTGTATCATGTTTAGTATAGCTTTCAATTTTTTTAATAGATAAATATTTAGTATAATCCAAAATAGAAAGTAGAAAAAAATGTCATAAATTTTTCTCAGAATTGCTATCTGTTTACAAAATAATTGTATGTTCTCCTAAATGAATTGAACTTGTAATAGTCTATTCTAGCTGAATAATAAAGCCTATGACAAAGACGTACTTTGGCCAGAACAAACTTGCATATTTGAAACCTATTATAGGATAAAAATTGTGGTTTAATTTTAAAAATTACAAACTTCTCAACAATAATGCTGCCACTCCATAATTCATTGTTCACCATTTACAATGACCATATAATTTATTTTTTTCCTCCATTTATATTATGGTCACATCTAATATGATTAAACCATTACAAAGATAGTAATTTTTTGGTATTAGTCATTGTTCATTGTAACCCATTTATTCACAAGCATAACCAATTTATATGTTCTTAAATAAGTAAAATATTATTTATAGTAATAATGAGAAGCCATGGATGTTCAAGCCTTCAAGTGTTTGTAGTGCCATTGTGGTTGATCAATCTAAGATTAAGTTAGGTTGATGTCAAGGATGAAAACTTGATAAAGACAAATAAACAAGTGAAACTTCTCTCAAAGAAAGATGACAAAATAGAAATAACTCAATATATATATTAAGAAAGCAACTGGAATGGCTATTGCCAAAAGACAAGAAAACTAGAGACCCTTGAAACTAGACTAGAATCAAGAAAAGAGTTGACAAGAGTGAAGAGGACTTCACTTTTGTCTCTATATATACTATCTAACTAGAGGCTATGTGGCGATATTCTATAGAACCTCCAATATGTGTTGACTTTGTAGGATATATATTTTGACTTACAAGGCAAGTTTTTCTATGTGTGGGCCACATAGTTAGCTTGGTCTTCAAGCTAACAACATGTGTGGCACATGGCCAACTTGTTGACCATGTTTCTAATCCAAAAAGTCAATTAAAGACACTTATATAGTCAAAGCAACGTCTATAAAGCTTCTATAGTAAATATTATAGAATTAACTTACTTTTATATATTTTTACTTACTTCTACCTATTTATACATATAATTACTAGCTTACATACGTATCTCCGTGACATTACCCCCCCTTCTAGGGATGAGTTCTACAAGGAGTGGTCATCATATGTTGAGGAAATCTATGATGCGATGAATTGTATTTGCCACATACTCTGATCTTTGTTCTCTTTGAAGATGATTGATAGAACCTCTCAACCATCAATAGTATCCCATACCAGGTTGGAAAGACCATCCAGTTATTTGATTTTTGTTGAGGCCTTTATGACATCCTTCGAATAAAATATTTGGAACACCATCAAGAGTCGTTCCTACCTCTAGTAAAATCACCAAATATTGGGAGTCCCTTCCAAGGGTGTGATACCAAACGCATTGTATCTCGCCCTCTATTTGCAAAAGAATATGTCGTTCTTGAAGAACTTCATCTCGATTGCATCGTCTTGAAGGTTTTGACAATTATATTATCTCATCCAACAAGTCAGCAAATAAAGCTTCTTCAGTTGAATCTGCTAGTTGTTGGTTCTCCATCTCCTCATCATCACAACTACAAAGAAGCTACAAATAAAGATTAAAAATAGAATGTTATCTTGCCTAGATCTTGTTTCTTTTATAAAGAAGGTTTTCATCTTGATTTTGATGGATGTCATCAATGAAAACCTTCCGCCGCCTTTGCTACATTTGCAAGATTCTTTATTGGCTTCCATGTACATTCATTAATATCATATCCGTACCAATGCACAAGATATTCCAATTTATTTTGGCACCGCTTTAAATCTAAGACTTCTTCTACCTCGAACTCTTCATTATTGTCCACTTCTATAGGAAGAGGTAGAGCTTGTCTTCTTCTTGATATGTCTATTATCTTGTATGGTTGAAGAAGAGACATGTAGAATACTGGATGGACTTTTATTGACTCCGATAGGTGTAAACGATATGCAACTGGATTGATTTGTGTAGAAATAGAAAATGGTCCAAGCCTTCAATAGTCCAACTTGTTACAAGAATGAGTGGTCTTGATATTGCGATGAAGTAACCATACCTTATCACCCATATAGAATGGTGGTTATTCCTTTCGATAGACATTTACATTGATCTTTTGTTGTTCTTGAACTTCTTTTAATTACACCTTCATTGTTGCATATAGCTCTGACAAATGAATTGCCAAATCTTTTGCCACAAGACTATCAACTTTTAGAAAGTCAAAAGTATCAAGTTGTGGATGATAACCATAATTGATAAAGAAAAGTGTTTGTTTTGTAGAAGAGTGTATCGTGTTATTGTAAGCAAACTTTGCCAATGGCAAAAGAGTTGTCCAATCATCTTGTTGATAGTTGATGGTATATCTAAAATACTACTCCAAAACTTGATTAACATGCTCCGTTTATCCATTAATTTGAGGATGGAATATAGAAGATAGTTTTATATCCACTTTTAGAATCTTGAAAAGAATCCATCAAAATCTTCATACAAATTGAGTTCTCCTATCTGATATAATATCCTTGGGTAATCTATGATAGCGATAGATATTGTTAAGAAAGAGCTTAGCTGTTTCTTCACTTGTGATGGATTTTGTACATATTAAAAAATGTACCATCTTGGTAAAATGATCTATTATCATGAATATAAAGTCATAAGAACCTGAGATTGAAAGATCCATGATGAAATCCATAGAAACAGAAGACCATAGTTGTTCTGAAATGGATAATGGCTGAAGAAGCTCGTAAGGTTGATGACAAGGATTTTTTGATCTTGAGCAAATACCACAAGATTGTACAAAATCTTTTACTGCTTTCCATATTTG